AATTCTTAGAACTGGTAAGCAATCTGTAAAATCTAATTAGCAATCCTTAAAATCTGATAAGCGATTCTTAGAAACTGATAAGCAATCCTTAGAGGTTGATAAGATAGCTAAAAATTCCAAGTATTGTACAAAACATCTGGATCATCATAAGTACACTTCAAAGCCCATTAATATGCAAGGGATCTCGAAAGCATTATTGAAAATAGCATTGGCTGCACTCCAATAGATAACATAGAAATTCCGATAGAGTTGAAAAAATTAAAATTAATTAACAAACATAATTCTTACACTGTGAAAACAAAATATATCAATATTTAGTGTTATGAATTTTAAAATCACTCTTTGCAGAATCATGTGATATAGTTTAGTCTATTGAATTTAAGATATAATATTTTAATAGTATCTGTAATAATAATAAATAGATTTTTATATATTTTTTATTATGTTTTAATGAAGTTATTTATTATTACTTCTTAAATAAATTGAATTTCAAATTGAGATCTAGATTTAAGATATCGATAATATTAAGTATTGTACTATTATAAATTGTAATATTATTATTAAAAATAGTTGTATACAACATTTTTAACTTTAAATAACCTGTTTTTGGTTTTGTATAATAACACTATGCAGCTATTTAGTCTCAGTATAGTTTATAATTTTTATAAAATAATATAAAAAAAATTAACCCATTATAATAAATATGATTAAGTGATTTAATAAATATATAGAAATGATCAACAAATTCTTTCACTTTTACTTTTGATAATTAGTGATTATTATTTTATTAGCTTGATAACAAATCTGATAAAAAAAGCAAAAAAATATTAAATATCTAAGAATTGAATATATAAATTAATATGGTTTTATTAAATCATACTATTGATACTAATATTACATCGATTTTGACCAATAAAATTAAAGATTTGCAGTATAATATCAAGATTAGGTGTAATATAAAAATCAAAACAATCATTGTTGTTTTTTTAAAAACCTTTAATAACTCAAAATTTTGCTTATAAAACAACCTTGTATATTCTAATAAAAACTTCTTTGTACAATTTTGCTATATACTAACCTTTATTTACAATTCTAGCTATAACTCTAATCTTAATATAAGCTAAATTTTAAATTATTTCTTTAGTTTTTTGTTTATTTGTTTTGATAATGATTTTTATATTACATAACATATATATATAACTGGTATTAGCACTACATGTGTGTTTTAACATAACTGAATTAATATACTAATACTAATTTTTATAGATTTACTATTATTTGCTATCATATTTGTAATTATATCTATGTTTTTATAAAGAATATTTTTGGATAATCTATAGAATAAGTGGATAATATAAGAAATAAGCTTTGCTAATAATTAGTAATTATTAATTGATGATCTGCCAGTTAATTTAAGAAAATTTTATATGACAATATGACAGAGATCACATATATACAAAGCCTGAATAGAAATTTAGAATTTATATATAAGGTTAATAAATTTAAAATAAATTAATATAAAAAAATAGTACAATTCATAGTGTAATATGACAAGTTTTCTATATCAAATCATGAAGCATAAAAACTCTTCAATAAAAAGTTTATTTTAGGCGATCTTAATATTTACTAAGTGAAATTTTAGTATAGTTATTAATATATAAACATATTTTACTTAGAAATTAATATAGGCTATCTTAATAAAATTTTGAGTAATTTTAATTTATTTAATTGTCCAAA